TATATCCTTTCACCACACTTATTCAATCTGTATGCTGAGCAAATAATCCGATAAACTGGCTATATGAAGAAGAATGTGGCATTAGGATTGGAGGAAAACTTATTAACAACCTTGCTTGCTGAAAGTGAAGAGGACTTGGATCACTTACTGATGAAGATGAAAGAATACAGCCTCCAATATGGATTACAATTCAATGTAAAGAAAACAAAAATAATAAATGGTGAAAAGATCGACGTTGTTAAGGATTTCAGTTTACTTGGATCCGTGATCAATGCTCATGGATGCAGCCGTCAAGAAATCAAATGACATATTGCATTGGGCAAATCTGCTGCAAAAAAGCTCTCTGAAGAGCAAAGATGTCACTTTGAGTATTGAGGTGCGCCTGACCCAAGCTATGGTATTTTCAATCACCTCATATGCATGTGAAAGCTGGACAGTGAATAAGGAAGACTAAAGAATTGATACATTTGAAGAAGAAAATGGAAAGTGCCACAGACTGTCAAAATAGTAAACAAATCTGTCTTGGAAGACGCAAGGACGATGAGACTTTTTTTCACATACTTCAGACATAGTATCAGGAGGGGCAAGTCTCTCTGGAGAAGGACATTATGTTCGGTAAAGTGGAGGGTCAGTGAAAAAGAAGAAGATGCCTAGCAAGATGGGCTATAACAATGGGTCAAACATAACAACAATTGTGAGGATGGCACTGAACCGGACAGTATTTAGTTCTGTTGTGCACAGGGTTGCTATGAGTCGGAGCTGACTTGAGGACCCCTAATAACATCCACAATTAATTACCATTATGGAATACTGATGTGGTGTTGTAGGATAAGCACTGGACTGTTAGCCATAAGGTCGGTAGCTCAGCGGTTCAAACCTACCAGTTGCTCCTTGGAAACTGTATACAGGGTCACTATAAGTTGGAACCGACTTGTCAGCACTTAACAAGAAGTATTTCCCATCACAGGCCCCTGGGTCCCGCCCACAATACTTCCAGCCTCATCTCCAACTTCCGAATCTCAGAGAACTTCAGAACAGAATTAGACCTTATGTTTACAAATCTGTGACTTTTGTTTTGTTTTCCAAATCGGAGTCTAGTTCATCTAAGTTGTTAGGTTTCCTTCCAGCAAATATGGCCTACTCTGCGTCTGTCCTGTGCTGAGTGACACATAGGACCCAGTGATGACAGGTACAGCCCCAGGTTTGTCCTCACAGAGTTTGCCATCCAGTGGGAGAGACAGACCCATCTCCAGAGAGTGAGAGGCACAGGCAGAAAGGGGCCAAGGCCCGGATGGGAGAGGCACAGGCAGAAAAGTAGAGATGGGTGGGGAAGTTCTTAGAGGGGTAGAATCATAGGCAGAGAGTTGGGAACTGGGCAGGCACAGCCGAGTGTCCAGGCTGGGACAGGGGGACAAAGGCAGATGGGGTAGGGAGCCAAAGGTACAGGGGTCAGAGCAGGGAAGATGCAAGTAGGGAGGGATGGTGGGGTTTGGGATCCAAGAAGCAAAGGGACTATGGGAACCCAGAGGAGACTGAGGTAGCCCAGGGCCCTGCTAGCTCAGGGTTCCCACTCTAGGCAGAGGTAATATTACTAACACTATAACACGGGCCATGGCCCCATCTACCGTGAGATCAGAGAGAACTAGATGGTCCCCGACTCCCATTACCGACCACTCTGATCAGGGCCAAAGTAGATGGACCCTATCAGAATGGGAGGAGCAAAACGTAGAACAGAATGTAAATTCTTAGAGTCCAGACTTACTATACCAGTTGAGATTAGGGGGCTCTCCAACACTGTCATATCACCCTGTTGTTGTTAAGTATCATGGAGTTGTTTCCGACTCAGTGACTCTGCACAGAGTTTTCGAGGCTGCAAATCATATCACCCTAGATAGTCTTTAAATCTTGAACTCACGTCACCTTTTAGCAAAATAACAGATTGTCACATAAAGTAAAGCATGTTGTTGCCATGGAGTTGGTTCCGACTCATAGTGACCCTGTACAGGGTTTCCGAGGCTGTAAATCTTTACAGGAGCAGAAAGCCTCGTATGAATATGATGCTCCATTAAAAAGCCACTGAAATGAGACCGAAAGGTCAACATTTTTACTAAAGCAAGGATGAGAAGCTAAGGAGGCAGGGAGACAAGAGGACCAGAAATGGAACCAACAGAACACAAAGAGAATGTTGACACTTTGTGAAATTGTAACTCCTGTCACTGAACAATTTGTGGAGAAATTGTCAAAAGGGAATATAATTTTCTGTGTAAACGCTCACCAGTATATTTATCTAAAAAAAATATATATATAAGGGGTAAGGAGGCTTCAAAACATTTGGGGAAATTCCATGATCTTTTCATTCCATTTTCCCAGGAACTAAATAGATTAAAAAATCAAACCAGACTGGCTGCTGTTGAGTTGGTTCCCACTTACAGTGACGCTAAAGGACAGAGCAGAACTGCCCCATGGTTTCCAGAGCTGTAAATCTTCAAAGAAATAGACTGCTACGTCTTTCTCCCATGAAGCAGCTCATGGATTCAAACAGCTGACCTTTCAGTTAGCAACTGAGTACTTAACCACTGCATCACCAAGGATTCTAAATATACTACTAATACTAAAAATAATTAAGCTACTATGTGCTAGATGCTATTTAAAATTCATTACTTGCATTTGCTCATTGAATTCTCGCAACAGGCCTATTAGGTAGATTCTACTGTTATCTCTATTTTACAGATGAGGGAACTGAGGCCCAGAGAGATTAAGTCCCCTGCCCAAGGTTACACAGGTAGCCAGTGATGGAGGCAGGATTGAGCTTAGAATATCTGACTCAACCCAAGCCTCTACTGTTTCTAAACAAACGATGGGCTCATTTCCCAGGGACAGGATGTGGGTGAGGGTGGGAGGAGGTCTGAGATTGAGGTGTGTGAAGACTGAGGTCTCACCTGTAGGGTGCAGTGGTTGAGTGGGTAGATCCCGCTCAGGCCTGGGGTCCAAGCCACCTCTAGCTCCGTGGGCCAGCTGGAGACAAGGTGGAGGTCTCTGGGCCGCTGGGGGAGTACTGTGGGCAGATAAAGAAAAGACTCTGGGGATCTTTTCCCAAAGTTCTTAGCTCTGCCCTCTGCCCCAGCCTCCCAGCCTCCCAGCCTCCCAGCCTCCCAGCTCTCTCTTCTGTTACCTGTGATGGTAGCTGTACGGGATGTGGTGACCCCCTTGGCATTATGGGCTTCGCAAGAGAAGGAGGACGTCTTGTTCAGGCCTGGGGGGAAGCGGGGCTAGTATCAGAGAAGGGAGTACAGTGGCTCTGTAGGATAAGCACTGGAATGTGGGCCACAAGATTGGTGGTTCGAGCCCACCAACCACTCCACAGGAGAAAGATGAGACTTTCTGTTCCCACAATGTTTTACAGCCTTTTGAAACCCTAGCTAGGATCTCTATAGGTCGGAACTGACTTGATGGCACTTAATAACAAAAACAAGTGTCAGAGAAAGAAAGAAAGGGGTTCCAAGGCCAGTTGGGCCCCTCCCACCATGCCTATTCTGACCAGTACCAGTCCATCCCCTATCAGGACTCGCTTGAAGGCAGGTTTGGGGAAAGGAAAGGATAATGTGCTAGAAATACAAATCTCCATCCCCACACAGACAGGTCCGGGTTTCAGCCCTAAGGCCCCACCATGTGACACACACAGACATACACACAGGCACAGACACACCTGCACACAGAGACACGCTCATACACACTTATATATATGCACAGAGGCACACAATTATACATATACACATGGATACATACTCACCCACATACCTACATACTCATATTTGCTCACATGGACACACACAAACATACTTAGATTCATACACACATATACCCACAGAGAAACATAAACTCACACACATGCACAGAGACACACACACTGACTCACATGGACATACGATGAGGAACAAACATACACCTAAGAGATACACACTGGAGGAAACAGGCCCTTTTGGGGTTGTGTGGACAGGTAGGAGTGCTGGCCCTGTGATAAGCCAGGCTCCCACCAAGTCTCATCCCACCCAATGCCCACTGCTCCAGCCCCCTGGCTTCCTGGTGCTTCTGGAGGGCAACAAGCACATTGCTACCACAGGACCTTTGCATTCTGTTCCCTCTGCTTGGAGATCTTCCCAAAGAAGTCCATTCGCATGGTTCCTTCCCTCATCTCCTTTTATGTTTGTTACTCAAATGCCACCTTCTCAGTCACGTTGTCCTCAACACCCTGTTTTAATGTCTGGAATCTCCTCCCTCCACCACCTCGCCCCATTATTTGTTTTTTTCTTTTTCTCTCTTTTCATCGCCCAACACACTTTACGTGTTGTCTATGCAATTTGTTCTTGTCTGTCTTCTCCGCTAGCATGTCGGCTCCAGGAGGCGGGGTGTTTTGCCTCTATGTTGAGCGAACTGGGCTGCTAACCACAGGTTGGGAGTTCAAATTCACCAGTCTCTCTGAGAGAGAAAGATGAGACCGTCTGCTTCCGTAAAGATTTACAAACTCGGAAACCCTATGGAGCAGTTTTACACTGCACTATATAAAACTCTATATAGGGTCGCTATGGGTCAGAAGCGACTCGACGACACTTCACAACAACAATAGGGTCGTCACGAGTCAGAATCAACTCAACCAAGGGCAGTGGGTTTAGTTTTTGTGTGTGTGTGTGTTTCTTGCTGTACCTTCAGGGCTGGAGGTGGGCTTGGCACACTGCAGGCACTCCATGAATGTTTGTTGAATGAATGAATAAGTGTGTTGTTTCTAGTTGTCACTGAGTTGACTAAACGTGGTCCCTTCCATCCTATCACAGACACTGTGTGTGTATATCTGTGTATGTCATATGTTGTTAAGTGCCACTGAGTCGATTCCGACTCACAGCGACCCTGTATAGGGTTTCCAAGGAGCAGGTGGTGGGTTTGAACTGCTGACCTTGTGGTTCCCAGTCCAGTGCTGATCCGACAGCACCACACCAGGAGTCCTGAAAACCCTATACAGGGTCGCTATGAGTTGGAACCGACTCAATGGCATTTAACAATAACATCACACACACACACACACACACACACACACACACACACAAGGAGACAGGCAGAAACAGAATGGTGATGTTACTGCCCTGCTGTGAATCTCTCTTGGTAAGATGAAAAGAGACCAAGTTTCAAGTCTGTATGTGTAAATGTAATTCTCTTATGTGTATTTCAGTATGTGTTTATGCATTTGTGTCTTGTCTGTGTTTCTGTGGAGAAGCTCTTGTGGTGTAGCCGTTAAGCAATCCACTGCGAGCTGAAAGGTCAGCTGTTTGAATCCACTTAGAGGCTGCTCTGAGAGGAAGAAGGATGTAGCATTCCACAGCCATAACTATTGTTGTTGTTAGGTGCCTTGGAATTACGCACAGCCTGGTCGTGTACCATCCTCACAATTGTTATGTCTGAGCCCACTGCTGCCTCCACTGTGCCCATCCATCTCCCTGACTATAAATAACAACGACAGCCTAGAAAGCTCTGGTAGCGTAGTGGTTACGAATTGGGCTGCGAACCTTAAGGTCAGCGGTTCGAAACTACCAGCCGCTCCGCGTGGGAAAGATGAGGCTTTCTACTCCCGTAAAGATTTACACCCTCGGAAACCCTGTACAGGGTCGCTATGGGTCGAACCCGACTCAATGGCACTTAACAACAACAGAAAGCTCTAAGGAGCAATTCTACTGTGTCTCCTAGGATCCCTAGGAGTTGGCATTGATTCCACAGCAGTGGGGATTTTTTAGTGGGAGTTTCTTTGTGGTCCCGTGTGCATCTCAAGTGTTGTGTCTGTGTGTATGTTGTGTATTTGTGTATGTCTCTCTCTGAGAAGTCTGGCGTGCGTGTCTGTGTCTCTCTGCCTAAAATTCCCACCAGCGCTCCGTTGGGGAGGGAGGCGCTCAAACGCGCAGACACAAAGTTTCCCTTTCTCCGTCAGCAGAGGGAATGGAATGGGGGGGGGAGGGGGGGG